TCTCTCTAGGATCTTGGAGAAGGCAGAGAGGTTAGAGACTGGTCGATAGTTACTGAGAATATCAACATCAGCATTTTCCTTCTTCAAAGTCGGCTTGATGACTGCTTTCTTCATATCTGAGGGAAAGATTCCAGTCTTTAAGGATGAGTTCAAGACGTGGAGTAAAATAGGTGTCAGTTCAGCGACACAGTTTTTTAAGAGAAATGCTGGGATTGGATCCAAGCAGCAGAACTTGTTGGACATCTTCGATACCAGGTCTTTGAGTTCATCAGCTGTTATCTCAGAGAAATTATCAAAGATGAAGTCTTTATCAAGAACAGGATCTTTGTCTTTGTCTTTGTCTTTGTCTTTGTCTTTGTCTTTGTCTTTGTCTTTGTCTTTGTCTTTGTCTTTGTCTTTGTCTTTGTCTTTGTCTTTGTCTTTGTCTTTGTCTTTGTCTTTGTCTTTGTCTTTGTCTTTGTCTTTGTCTTTGTCTTTGTCTTTGTCTTTGTCTTTGTCTTTGTCTTTGTCTTTGTCTTTGTCTTTGTCTTTGTCTTTGTCTTTGTCTTTGTCTTTGTCTTTGTCTTTGTCTTTGTCTTTGTCTTTGTCTTTGTCTTTGTCTTTGTCTTTGTCTTTGTCTTTGTCTTTGTCTTTGTCTTTGTCTTTGTCTTTGTCTTTGTCTTTGTCTTTGTCTTTGTCTTTGTCTTTGTCTTTGTCTTTGTCTTTGTCTTTGTCTTTGTCTTTGTCTTTGTCTTTGTCTTTGTCTTTGTCTTTGTCTTTGTCTTTGTCTTTGTCTTTGTCTTTGTCTTAAAAGCTATAATTCAAGTCATAAATCTTTACTCGGCCCTGTATGCGATTTGTGTTCCCGGGTAGGTGGCATGTGTTCCGGAGGGTAAATAAGTAGTACCTGTCCCAAACCATCAGAAAAACAAAGTTTTGACCTCTAGACCCACTCAGGCCACTTCCAGGGGCCACGCCTAACCCAAAATATCTGAAAATTCCATACAAATCCAGACTGAGAATCTTTACCCCCGTATGCGATTTATGTTCCCGGGTAAGTAGCAAATGTTTTGGTGGTTGAATAATTACTAGTACCTATCCCAAACCATCAGAAATATTAAGTTTGGCCCATTCAAGCCACGCCCAGGAACAATGCACAACTTTAATTAGCTGAAATCCAGGTCAAATAGCTGAGATTCAGGTCAAATACAGACTGAGAATCTTTACCCCCGTTTGCGATTTGTGTTCCGGGGTAGGTGGCCCATGTTTCATGTTAAATAAGTAGTACCTGTCCAAAACCATCAGAAAACCAAAGTTTCGACCTCCACGAACAATGCACAACATTAATTAGCTGAAATACAGGTCAAATCCCATACAAATCTAGACTAAGAATCTTTACCACCGTATTTGGTATGTGGGTTTTTTAAATTGGGACAAACCCGGGCAAGGAAAGGGTGTAGTGGGGTGGTCTAAAAATGCTAGATTTTAGCGAACGTTGTAGGTTTATAAGTATAACCTACCAAGACGCACGCCAAGTTACCTGGGGATCTCAGGCTATCATGTTCATAAACATGAATAGAGATTAGGCGGAATGACAGGCTGAGCGCCGCCCAGTAAACGCCAAGTTGGACTCGTCGAGTAATTTGACTCGTCGTCTATTTGAAACAAATATTTTACGAGTAGGTATCGCCCGTTAAGGCCAACGTCCGGAGTGGCCAGACCCTATCCTAATCCGAGCCCGAAACAATCGAATTCACGTGTTTTACTAGCATGTCACGTGACCAAAACAGTTTTTGCCCATAACTCTCTAGGGACTTATGTTACAGGTCTAAGGTTTTAAAGTGTTCCAAGAAGCCAGACTCAAGATCACAAACGGTTAAAATGTTAGTCTTCCACGGAAATAATTTAATAATTATTCACGCTCATGACCGCCCAAAAAATTGAGAACATTTTTGGTAATTTTTTAATAATTGTTCTACTCTTTTTCTGAACTCTAGAATGTGACTGAGGACTCCTCATTGTGACGCCATACAGGCACGTAGCCAGGGGGGGGGGGGGCTAGGGGGGCGGCAGCCCCCCCCCGGAAAAAATCGAACCCCAGAAAAAAGATAAGCCCCCTAGTCCCCATGGTCGCCTGGTAACTGGGCTGTGTTTATGACTGCAGTCAGTCAAAGATTTGAACTGTGGATTAGTAAATATATGTCATTAAATCCAAGCAAACATTCTTGAAGACTTCTATAATTATAGTCAATAGTGTCCCCTAGACCGTAGGAAATGTAAAAATCTTAAGACGATGAGGCCTGAGTAAGTCGTAAATTCTGATTGGAGAATGCAGATTGCTGTTGTGAAGTTACCAAATTTACGTGAGTACTTGATTCTTTTCAATCCCAGTTTATTGCTGTCCTACAAATTTCTTTAATGCCAAATGTCGTCTAAAACACCCTGTTTCGCAAAAAATTTCCGGGGAGCTGCGCCCCCCTAGCCCCCGCCAAGGGGCTCCGCCCCTGGACCCCGCTGGGGGCTGCGCCCCCAGACCCCTGCCACAGCTTGATCGCTTCGCTCGCTGCGCACCTTGATTGGACGCGTCGGCTCGCTTCGCTCGCCGACAGCCCCCCTCAAAGAAAAATCCTGGCTACGTCCCTGACGCCATATCACGTGACGTCACACCACATGAAGTGACTGAAGCTCAACTCAAGCTCAACTCAAGCCCGGTGTTCGGGGAAGACAGTTCCCTTGTACTTCAACAGATTCACTTCTTCTCTCCTTCCAGGAGGATTCACGGAGACAGTACTGAGTACCACTGTATCTACCTCTACCTCCCGCGATATCCGTACCTCACTCCACGAGGAAGTTTCATCTTCTCCTTTTCATGCTCATCCAGATCTAGGTCATGAACAGACTTTCTGGAGGACTGTAATAGACTACGGCGCTGGAGACAGGAGTTTAATTTACCTGCTCACTGGAGCAGATACTACTATACTAGATCGGGTTATTCAGGTAGATACTAGATTTGGCAGATACCTAATACAAGATATTGTGATGTGCCAAATTAAAGTGTCTGGCGTGAGGACAAAATATGAAAATAAGATCGAGGATAAGAAGTGGAACGGAAATTAGTGGAGACGGTATTGTTGTTAACAAGACAATTGTAAAGATTAAATAATTAATGAGAGCAGTGAAAAGAGTTGAATGAGTGGGAAATAATTTTGGATATTTATGTAGTCTAGTCGGAAGGAAGGCGGGTCTCACTCTCAATGTAAACCCGCTGAGGTCTACTTACTAACAACTGTAGAAAAATAAAAATGTTGCTTAATTTCAATGAAAATAGGGCGGAGGAAGTGGGATGTACGAAAAGAAAAAAAGGGTTTTTGATAATTACAATTTTTCAAAACAAGGCGGAGAAAACAATATTTCTCACACGGGTAACACTTGGAACAAGCTATAAAATATACAACATACTAGAAACATTTCTAGGTCGTAACAAAGTTGAGCTTGTAAGTAACTGAAGGAGGAACCGCGGATAATAAGATATCGGAGTCTAGTCGGAGTACAGGGGTCAGGGAGGCGACACACGCTTGTTTAGACAGTCCGTTGTTGTGTGAACAGTTGTCACGGGAATACGTGTGCCGCACTTCCGGATAGTGACGGAGACACTTGGCAACGGTAATGGAGATTCAGGAGAACCCTATAGTATTTCGGGATAAGGGTGGTAGTTAGTGAATAAGCTGAAGTTTATTGAATCTTTATTGCCGAGTACAGCTGCCTTCGGGAAGTTCTTCTAGCTTAATCTATTACAATTGCAATTGTAAATGAATGGGAAAAGCGAGCGACCGATTTTATTCTCCGTATCATTTTGCATTAATTGCAGACGGTCATCCAAATTAATATCATTTACTTTTGTTTGGGAAAGAGAGACACCGGCAGCGGTCCACTCTACCCATAATTATGGGTTTTGGTCAAATTAGCTTATTATATTAGATAATCGTGTTTACATTTGCATTTTAACCTCTAATATTTCCTTACTTTGCCTGCATTGATCGCCCTCCCAGTCAGCCCATTCGCCGGCGAACGAAGATTTTCGCCGGGATAACTCGCCAGGCGAAAGCAGCCTTTCGCCGGGTTAAGGTGTCCGCACATTCGTCGGGCTAAAATTTTCGCCGGGCTAACATCAAATATACGCGCACGGTGTGCGCGGTTCAAGCGCGCGATCACCATTATTACCCAGCAATTTGTCTATCGCGCCAAGAAAACCATGCCAGTCAAATGCATTTTATTGCACACGCGTTATTCTTGCAAATCGGACGATACAATCGTAAAGATAAATACCAAATGAAAGATTTTTAGCACGTATATTTAGTTGGAAGCTACCTTAGCTAAAATTTGGTCTCCATCTAATCTCATTTTGATTCCTTCGCTGTTGAATAGATTGATCTGCTTGCTCTGTAGAAAGTAACCATGATCAATACAATAGATTCCAGGTCAGTCAATAAAGAGTAAGTATATAATGATTTATTGCTGTAAGTTGTAGTATTATATTTATAGTTACAATCAAAACGTTGTTCAAATGTTTTTTTACAAAAGTATAAAATTAGATGCCTTAGCTAAAAACCATGCATTTACTTTTGAAGCGCTTATTCAACAATACTAGGCAGTATCCAGATAGCCCAACCCCTGTTCGCCGAACAGTTGTTCTCCGAACAGGTGTTCGTGAATAGTTGATTGGTTACCAGATCATATGACCGCAAATTTTATGAAATTGAATGGTATGTATGGTATCTTGGATGCAATTTACGACTAGCATAATTTGCCATTAATTGTAGCGTAGTAAATTGCTGGAACAAACTATCGATTTCGATTCAAATGTGGTCTCTCAGATATAATTAGTTACGAATAGCATTGATTGTAGCGTAGTATATTGCTCAATGATATAAATGATTACGATTTAAATGTGGTATATAAGTCGTTCGTTTTTGGTGGAGTATTATCAGTTGCCATCATCAACAACTATTCCAATTCCTGACATGGTACTCTTCTGTCTAATGGACGAAATCAATGGACCCAGAGCCTCCCTAGAGAATGCACGAGTCTTCTTATTACATAAAAACACTGGAAAGGTTCAGGTGCAAGGTTCAGGTGCAAAGATAAGAAATCGCGGGCGTAGAGAAAGTCGACAAATGATCAGATGGTACCGCGACAATTGACCCCCCGACAATTGACCCTATGTAATTACACTGGGGTCAATTGTGAAATCTAGGGCTTAGCATGACAATTAGTTATGGTTATGGTTATGGTTATGGTTATGGTTATGGTTATGGTTATGGTTATGGTTATGGTTATGGTTATGGTTATGGTTATGGTTATGGTTATGGTTATGGTTATGGTTATGGTTATGGTTATGGTTATGGTTATGGTTATGGTTATGGTTATGGTTATGGTTATGGTTATGGTTATGGTTATGGTTATGGTTATGGTTATGGTTATGGTTATGGTTATGGTTATGGTTATGGTAATTACATAGGGTCAATTGTCGGGGGTCAATTATCGGGGGGTCAATTGTTGTTGAGTTTCAGGATATTGGTAAACAAAAATGATAGCGTTTTCGACGATTTTTTTTTTATCTAGACACTTATTTTACTTCGGTGTATTCCAACAGCCACAATGTTACACAAGTGCAACCAGCCAATTACAGGAAGCCGAAGGATCTTCTTGGCCAGTGACGGTTAAGGTAGTGTGTACCATACTTTCTTCGTCCGAGACTTTGCTGCAATCTGCAGCTCCTCATTTAACCCTCACACCCGATTTCTCGAGTATTCGGCTGAGTAGACCGGGGGGCTGCATAGACCAGTCATGATCCTTAGCTGAACGTCGACGACGCTCACCCCACGACCAGGCAGTCAGTGGGTTTCGAACTCGCAACCTAACGATTGTAAGACAGGCGTTCTAACCAACTGCGCTACCTGGCCGTTAAAAAAATATGTCAAAAAAATGGCTTAATTTTGACATATATTAACCTAGCACGTTCAGAAGTTCTGAACATTAGCCACGTAACCCATACTCCCATATGCACTGCTCAGAAAGAAAATTTAATGTTGTTAGGCACTATAATGGTTCAAATGTCACATTTTGTGTGACTTAGTTAACTGCAGTTGTCTAATTATCATTCCTTGGTCTGAAATATAGTAGATTAGGTCAATCTAACAATTATGATACAACATTGGTTAAAGGGCACGGATCGAACGGTTACAAGGCAATATTTGGGTAACTTTGTCACACTCAGAATACCATACCTCTATTCTACTGTGAGGTGTCCTTAAAAACCTTTTAACTCATTATTTGATGGTTGATCTACCAATCATAGCCCTAAAACATTTTGTTTCGAATAGTTAGCTAATACAGGCACTTATTTATTGGGAAATGAGGTTAATTCTGTCACAATATATGGAATTTTAAATTTTGGGCGAATTATTTATATCTGATTTGGGTTTGAAAGGCGGAAAAACTTTATATGATGACAATGTAGTTGATGCAAGTTAAGATCAGTTGATGTTTACATTGTCACAAAAAATGATATGTCGTAAATAGGTTAAAAACAATGATTATAGAATGAAATAGTCTCTTATAATAACTCTTATAATAACTATATATATTATAATAACTGATGTGACAAAGTAAACATGTCTTGCCCCTATTTTGAAGATCTATATATTCTATGACTCTATTAGAATTCAACATTCTTCCAGAAAAAAATCGGTAGAATATTGTCCAGAACATCAGAGCTCAAGTTTAACAATTTTAGGTTAAATTTGTCAAAGTCACTAAAAATGTGACAAAATTAACTTTTCCTGCCCCAACAATTTCAAGATAGTGTGTAAAAATTAGCAAAGGCTGCTTTATTGCCTATATAAATCAATCCAAACTACGAAAAAGATCTGTTAATCTGATGACGATTACCTAACTCTAATAATAACTGATGTGACAAAGTAAACATGTCTTGCCCCTATTTTGAAGATCTATAACTCTATTAGAATTCAGCATTCTTTCAGAAACGATTGGTAGAATATTGTCCAGAACATCAGAGCTCAAGTTTAACAATTTTAGATTAATTTGTCAAAGACACTGAAAATGTAACAAAATTAACTTTCCCTGCCCCAACAATATCAAGATAGTGTGTTAAAATTGACATATGATGCTTAATTGCCTATATTAATCGATCCAAACTACAAAAAAAGATCTGTTAATCTGATGACAATTACCTAACTCCTATAATAATTACTGATGTGACAAAGTAAACATGTCTTGCCCCTATTTTGAAGAGCTATACCTCTATTAGAATACTATGTAACTTTATCATCAATGAACTATTTATTTTGCCAGCAAGGAGCTAACAGAGTTATAAGAATTTTTTTGTGACGAAATAACCCTATTTTTGACCATGTTGCAGTACTTTAATTGTGACACTGTTAACATATTACCACCCGATAATGACTTATGTGACTGGTGCGTGGTACTAGCAGTGTTGTTTGATCCATAGTACATAATATAAGGGGTTTAAGCTGGTATATCATTATTTGTTCAATTTCACACATGTTCAGATATCATCAAGATTATGTGACAAAGTAAACTTGTTTGTGCCTTCTGTGTTTTAATTCCTTACGACTATATGATATAATAACAATTCCTAGCACTTCCAGGCCATTAAATAAACCTACACTACTCAGCATTGCTTATCAGGGTGCTTTACATACTCAATACATTGTCCTAGGATCCCCTTGTCTAGGATTCCTTTGTCTAGGATTCACATTGTCCTAGAATACCCTTGCAGTTGCATTATAACTTTCAGCTGAATACCCGGGTGATTTTATTACCATAAAACTAATAATATCTTTGATAAGATACGAGGGTTTTACTAAAGGTTGTAAGGCTCCATTCAGTGTAAAGTGTATTATAACTTAAGTAATATAATACTGTAACTGTTTTAAGGACTCTCTTGGAAGCATTACAACTGAATTTACCGGTGTATTAAACATGTTAGAGTAGTCAATACCAGGAAATAATGGAACTGGTCCATATAGTCTTATATCAGAGTATTAAGCTCCCTTTCAAGGGCGGAGACTGGGTCATCCTGTTAAAATTAAATAAACTAACAAAATGTTCCAACTCCGGCAGGTAGTTCAGTTCTGATAAACGCTAGTTTGGTGTCTCTGTTCTGTATCAAGGGCCGATATAAGAAGTCCTACCATCAAGCCTACATCAACTTAGCCTGCAGTGATCTGGCCTTCTCATTGTGGGGAGTTGCTTTTACCGCTCCTAGTAAGTAAAGGTTGAGGTTAGATCTCAGTTTAACCTCTTGCGGAGGAAGGGAGGAGTGGAAGTTGGGCTTAACTGCATTTATAAAGTTCAAAACGTCTAAAAAATCCCCTCCCTCATATTTTAGAAATTTTTTCCATAAATTTCTTCCATAAATTTTCTTCCATAAATTTCTTCATAAAGTATCCATTCTCCTTAAAAAGATCGCATATGGTGTCTGGTGAAGGTGGCGTTCAACATTTGTTAAGATATCTAAAACCGCTCTCTCCCCAGACTACTTCTTCGGTAGAGATGAAGGAGTAATGTGCACCGCCATCCCACTGATAGGGAGCTATCTGTTCACAGTTAACTTGTCCTCTGTTCTTCCTATCGCTGTGGATAGACTGGTAGCGGTTTACTCGCCTATGAGGTAATGTATATTGTAGTTCAATTAACATCTGTTAGTTTGAATTGAATCGTAAATTACTTATAGTGGGATTCCTAGGTGGTTTTCGAGTGAGAGTTAATTTTGCTTGGCTACCTTACAAGACATATTTATAACGTACGAAATGTGGCGGTTTTCCGAAAATTTCGCCATATTTTCGGACCGCCAAAATTTCGGTCGTCGTAATAGAATCCGTCGCATTATCTTTTAGCTTATTTCAATGACTGTGCCTTCACTGCTTCATTTTGTTTCTAAAAAGTAATATCAAGTAAAATAAATAAATAAATTCTGGCATCTTGAGACAAATTATCACCACACCAATGACGAATTGAATGTCAAGCAATACAGTTTAAATTTGCATTAAAATACATGTATGTGCTAACATGAAAGTCTTACAGTCCTAATACAGACTAAGTTTGAACATGATTTTACCGAATTTCAGAAATTTCCTTACTGCTTACTGTCACCAAAAATGATGAAAAATACCCTTATTTTCTGTGACGTCCGAAATTTGACGGTTTTTGTTCAATTTCGCCATATTTTCGACCGCCAAAATTTCGGTCGTCGCAAATTAGGCCGCCATAAATATGTCTTGTAAGGTACATATAAATGTAAACATATATATATGTATATATACTTATATATAAGTTTTCTGTTTTCTTTACACATACATTGTTTTTGTAACCATCGTAATCATCAAAAACTATTGTTCCTGCTACGATACCATAGTTTTACCTTGCAAATATGTCAGGTACAAGTCAGGAATAGCAAACAAGAGGTACTGCGTCATTTTGCAAACAGCAATGGCTCTTGGCTGGATAATACCCGCCGTCTACACTATCCTTGTCTTTATTATTGCTTTGGTGAGTCCGCTAGTAGCTAACTTAACAAAATAGTGCTACTGTAGAAAGTATACCCTCGATATTTATTGAACATGTAACTTATCTTGTTATCTTGCGAAGATTATCTTTTTAAAATAAAAATGGGTATCTTAGTATGGCGAGACGGTTAAGTGATTAATTAATTTATAAGTTCATTTTTTGTCACTTGGCTCGATAATACTAATGATACTCTCCTTCCAGGGACTAAAAACACCGTTAGTATCCAACCTGACCCACCCTACTCTCCACTACCACTACTGCGACTTCACCCCGGACTCCCCTCTACACCTCCCCTTCCAACTATCCCGCTTCATCATCTTCTTCCTATGCGCCATCACCCTCGACGTCATCATCTACGGCTTCATCATCAGCAAGATCCTAGCAGGCAAGCACCGCGAGGTCCACACCACCAACAACCTCGTTGTCATCATCAGAGCAGCTCTGGTCTGCCTGGTCATCTTCTGCTCCTGTACCCCTTACTCCATCATTATCCTGATCCCGAGCAGTTCTCTAGACCTCAAGATGATCGGGTATTCTGTCTACTATATCGGGTGTTTTGCAAACCCCTTTCTGTATGTGGTGTCTAGTAGGGCTATCAGGGCCAGTCTTCGGAGACTGACTAAGAGAAAGAGACAAAGTGTGAGAAAGGGGAGTATGAGGAACAGAAGGACTGCTAGTTTTACTAGTAACGCGCTACAGCTTGCTTAGTTTTATACAGTTCTTATAGACTATAGAGGGACTATGGTAACCAGTAACCACCCTGTTATTATAGTAACCAGTAACCACCCTGTTACTGTAGTAACCAGACACCCACCAGAGTCCCCGCAAACTGACTAAGAGAGAGCCAAAAAATCGGATATATATTTTTTGAGCGTATTAATACAGTGACAAATTGGCCATGGAACTAGAGGGTAAGAGAAAGAGACAAAGTGTGAGAAAGAGGATTATGAGGAACAGAAGGACTGCTAGTTTTACTAGTAACGCGCTACAGCTTGCTTAGTTTGGTACTATTGTCTACAGTTCACTATAAAGTATGTGTTCTGAAGGCCTGAAGGGTGCCCACTACCCTGCTTATAAGATTCAAGATATCTTGGCAGGGTCCCTCCTCATGAGTTGTTATAGTTGATACAAGCTGTCTGCTGAAGTGCTTATGTTAACAATATTTTAACCCGTAAAGGTTGAGCTGTAACACTACTCTTTGCTCCTAGAGGAGTGACTGATTCCAATGTGTAAACAATCCACTGATGATTAGTGTCTTTTAAAACTGAGGCTGTTTGCACAGACAAAACAAACAGAGCTGATAAGATACACAATTTGGCCTCCATTAAAACATATTATCCCTGAGGGTTTGTTCATATCATTGGTGGATATGTTTATACTGTGCTCCAGTTGAACCCATAACATTGAGCACGGAGAGGTAACTGTACCCCCTGTACCTCTTCGTGTTGGCACAAATAAACAAGTAAAAGTACCTGCACACTCGCAGAGTCAATAGGGTGTATTCAGTATTGCAAACTGGTCGACCTTTACGGGTCAGGAATAATCACAACTTTTTAGTATCATCTGGAAATAATAGTGACCATGGCGACAATTAGCTGGTTCTGGAGGGGATACCATGGTAGCCATAGCCTAGTAGGCAGTAAGTAGGGTACCATTGTCAGTTATCGCGGTGACTGTAGTTTTATGCCGAACTCTGGATAATAGCCGATAGTTATTTATGTTTTTTTATATTTTACAAACTCCTTAAATCGATGTATTCTTGAGTTTTCTTTCAAGTACTCTGAAGTAGTGAAATATTTTTAAAGCGCGAAAAGAGAAAAATTACGAGTTAAAATAACCAATATTGCCGCACAAGCAATGAAAGTAAGTAAGTTTTCTTCTGCTATGCGAGGAAACTTCGATACTGAAGACCACCTGAACTCCGCGCGGGATAAGTAGTAACCTTGCTCATTTTATATCATTTACTCAACAAAACCACTCTCTCTGTTACGGTGAGCCCTCTCTCGGTATCACGTGTTATTTTCTTTAGCACTGCCAGAGTGGTTCACACATGGTTCACATATGCAAGGCCAACTGAACTCAGAAGCTTCGAATCACTTTGATCAAAAAGCGTTTAGAAATGCTGGTAAGGCACTCCACGTTTAAATGCTGACGACCCGTTTAAAAAAATCCAAATTTTAGTAGCGTGAGAGAGGCTTTGGTAGCATCTTGTGTCGATATCAGTAGTATAACTGATTCAGTACTAGAAATAATGAATATGATTAACTATTGGGGGTAAGTCGGGTACTTCTAGTTCTAGCCATGTAGCTTTGTAGTTATAAGTTACTATGATAACCACCCCTTTACCATATATGGTAACCAGCCTATTACTATGATAACCACCCCGTTACCATGGTTACCACCCAGATGGAGACTACACCACCACCCCTCAACTGGTAGAATACACCTCTCTATACACACAGTAAGACAGTACAACAAGTGGACAGTGTAGACACAGTCACTTCAGTTGTAGATACTGGCGACCTATACGATAAGAGGATACGAGGAGGCAGGATCGGTAAGTTTATTAAATCTGATTTACAAAATTGTAAGAATAAAAAGAAATAGTTTAGCATGTTCCAACATAAAACATTCTATGAAAGGGTCAAAACTCAAAAGCGACGAAAATATCAAATATCTTTTTAATGGACCTTAAAAGATATCTTACTACGAACCTCCAATTCAACAGTAATAACACTGACCTCACAACGGCAGGTCTCTACTCGTTTGGTCAGTGGAACGTTACCTTCGCTAATACAGCTGCCCGGTGTCTTACTCCGCAGAACTACGCTGCTGATCTGAACGGGAATAGTCACGTGATAAACTTAGGGGAGTTGTCTGGATTGGGCATCAGTAGGAGCTTCCAGATCAGGTTTTTATTATTGTATGTTTTGTTATTAGATATGCTAGGAGAATATCCACTGTTTATCTTCACTTGTGTAATTTTAGTCATTTAGTAACAATTATAATGCTCGTGTTTCGTATCAGATTGATGATAATGATATTAAGAATATATTAAGGAATTTGAATTACGACCCTGGCCTTTGGAATGGCCCCTATCTTGACCAATCTTCCCTGTAGTGCTTGGTTCAAGATCGCACAACCTCCAGAAAACGGAACAAGTTATCCTATTATTTGTAAAAACAAACAGACAAACCTACAGACTCTTTGCGTTTCCATAACTTCTGGTAAAATAATGTGCACATTTAGTCGTAATTGTTGAACTTTTTATCATCTGTGAAATTTTCGATAACTGAGATTGACGATGGAAATTTTTGGATTCTCACTTTCAGCCGTAACAATTTACAATATATTCGTATATAAAGTAGATAAATAAATCCTATTCTCAGAGCTTAAGCTGGTTGGCGAGTACGCAGAGTTTACTGTAGAATCTGAGGAAGAAGTCACTCTCGACACTTGGCTTTACTTCGTTATTAGGTACCGTTCAGTAACCGTGATACCACAAATTCATTCTTATGTCCCAATCAGTAACCGTGCAGTACCAATCAGTAACCGTGGTACCTGACTGCGACAGTAACCATAGCAACCTCCACCTCGCTAACGGTATAACCTCCACTATATAATCACAGGTACGATATGCAGTATAAGAACATCAGACTCTACCACAACATGGGTGAAACTAAACAGTACGTCGAGAGTGAGGAGTTTGTTAATGTGGGCCCGGTCAGTGAGGAGTTAGTTGTGGGGTCTGATGGGGACCAGTACTTCAAGGGTAATTAATACTCAAACACAAATATTTTGTAGTGGTTAGTCAAGCTTTTGACCCCAGCGGGAGACATGTTTCAGAAATGTTTTGTGATAAAAATCCAGGGTGTTTTGTTTCTTTCTATTTCGGTTAAGGGGGCCGGGGGGGTCTTCATCAAAATTCTCTCAAAATTGACTTTATAGTTGTTTCTAGTAGAAGGGAGTGATATCTACCAGCTGCTTTTGGTCCCATGGAAAAATATTGTTCCTAGCCGAAATTATCGCCGGTCTAAGGTCAGCGCTTATGTGTAATTGTATTGCGCAAGCGATTTTCAATCGCAAATTCTGAAAATCGAGTCTAGAAATCTATCTTCTCCTACATTTTTTGAGCAATCACCCTGAGACTTTCAGGATATTTTCTAGGGACCATTTAGAAGAGATCGTTTAAGCCAAAATTTTAAGATAGGCCTTTAAACAATTTTTATTCAATTTTGAAAATCTTGGACCTCAAAAAATCGTAAAAAAACGAGGTTCAAGATTTTCAAAATTGAATAAAAATTGTTTAAAGGCCTATCTCAAAATTTTGGCTTGAACGATCTCTTTTAAATGGTCCCAGAATATATCCTGAAAGTTTCAGGGTGATTGCTCAAAAAATTTAGGAGAAGATAGATTTTTAGACTCGATTTTCAGAATTTGCGATTGAAAATCGCTCGCGCAATACAATTACACATAAGCGCTGACCTTAGACCGGCGATAATTTCGGCTAGGAACAATATTTTTCCATGGGACCAAAAGCAGCTGGTAGATATCACTCCCTTCTACCAGAAACAACTATAAAGTCAACTTTGAGAGAATTTTGATGAAGACCCCCCCGGCCCCCTTAACAACTGTTTTCGGGGCCAAAATCAAAACGCCATGTCGTCGTCATGTTATCACCATGTCGTCAACTGACCATGTATCTCGTACTTTGTATCACCATGGTTACGACTTGGTATCACCATGGTGACGAAATTTAAACTCTACAGGACAGATAGACGAAATACGCATCATACACAGACTGATACACGAGGAGGACTACTTGTACACACTGCTGTTCAAACCCTCACTTGCCAGAGAGGATAAGATGAGACTGATCGGGGCTCATCTCAACTTTGACAGAGATGAGATTGTAGATGTGTTGGAGAATATTCAGGTATTTGGGTTATTAATTTGATGCTGTGTTATTTTATTGGCATGGTTAAATTGCATAACTATGGTTAGGTTAACTAACTGTGTAGACTTTCTTGCACTCCTTGAGTTTTTACATGTGTCATGTCGTCACAACTTATCATTTAACTCACCATTTTTCAATGTTAAATATGATAGTGTAGTGTGGATGTAACAAGTACATAAGGATATGTTCATCTTATTCTTATAGTTATAAAGATATCTAGTAAATACTAATCTAGTAAAATTATGTATCATGAAAATATGAAATTAAGATTGCTTTTTCATGATAGAGTTTCAACCATATATAATAGTAACAATAACCATAGAAACAATACAGGTATCAGTACTGAACACAGATTCTACACTTCTCCCCCAGTCGTTAAAAGCGCTGTAATGGGACAAATGTACAGGTCAGATCCATCATCTCAAATAATATCTATATTATTTTATAACTTGTATTATATTATCTTACTATTGTTAGTTTTAAGCTAGACTTGTGGTGGGGTATTTAAAGACATGGTCCGTGTTTTAGTGTATTGCTACCTGTTGATAACACTGTTACTATGGTAACATAAAGCCATGCTTATTGTCAAACCTTTTAACACGTGACCAACGCAGCACCCTGGTAACTATTGATTACTCAACTTAGCTACCCATCCGTGGCTAACGTTTAACCCATAAACATTGATCATTCCCATCGGAGCAAAAATAAAACACCGAGGTTAGTGCATAAACGTGTAGTAGTTTAACAAGAAATAAAATAAGACAGGGTATATTTTACTTAAACAGCTATCCTAGAGTTACCTGAACTACTTTTTATTGTTTACAACTCCCAGAGAGTTGTTTACACCTCCCAGGGAAGTGTCTGTTTACTGTTTAGTTCGCGACCTGAGGTGTATTCCCACCCAACCTAGACACTCCACTCACTTTTCTGCTACTCCTCCTGGATACTGGACTCTACGCCCTCACTCTTCCTCAACTCAGCACTCTACACTTCTCTACAACTTGGCGATGAAGCGCACTCTGATACTAATCCTCCTTGTCTCCTCTCTCGTCTTCCTGGTGCAGTCTGAATTCGAAGAAGACGACGATACTGGTTGGGGTAATTTAGATGAGGATGAGGATGTAAGCGATGAAAAATTGATTGAAACTTTGAATGTCGCAGCAATAAAATGCGAGAAACAGAAGTGCAAGGATAATTTCAGAAAATGCAAGAGAAAAGGTTGGTGCGGAGACTTGAAATGGTGCTTCGATGAGATAGATGAGGGTCAATGCAAGAAAAGAAATAGAGCGGAAGGAGTTTCTAAGAGGGCTTGTATAATTAGTTTGATAAAGGAGAAAGACTTTTGTATTAATATGCCCTAATCACATCAGTTACTGCATCATAGTGACTCCTATAGCTACTCACCGTCACCTGCGGAGAGAAAAGCTTCCTGATTGCGGGAATTTAAATTTTTTCAAAATATTTAGATTATTATTCAATTCGCCTCATTTTTCTGTTTCTCTTTCAATCAGATGTAACTAAACGTACAAATAATTCGAAATTATTGATTCATCATCAAATATGATATCAACTCTGAGCTCTGGCAAGTAAAATCTGTGGATCGTTTAAATTCAAGTTACACATCCCATTCTAGGTACCATGGAGATCACCAATAAATTTAAACTGTGTACTGCTGCTTTACCGGAACCTTGTTTCGGTGTGGGGTTCGATTATGGATTGATTTTGTGACGTTTTCTAAAAGAGGAGAGCAAGATCTACCAGATTTTCTTTACTTCTATAAAATACTGA